GTGTTCTACATCACTTGTGTTACAGCCACCAGTGTTCTATATCATCTGTATTACAGTCATCAGTGTTCTACATACCGTGTGTTAAAGCCACCAATGTTCTATATCATCTGTATTACAGCCGTCAGTGTTCTACATACCTTGTGTTACAGCCACCAGCGTTTTACATCATTTGTGATACTGCCAGCAGTGTTCTATCTTGTCTGTATTACAGCTGTCAGTATTCTGTATCGTCAGTATTACAGCACTCTACATACAGGCATGTCTGACTGTGAATTACATGTCATTAGCACTCTACACACAGGCATATCAAAGTGTGAGTTATATGTCATTAGCAATCTACACACAGGCATGTCAAAATGTCAGCTATATTTCATTAGCACGCTACACACAGGCATTTCAAAGTGTGAGCTATATGTCATTAGCACTCTACACAGAGGCATGTCAAAGTGTGAGTTATATGTTATTGGCACTCTACATATATCAAAGTGTGAGCTATATTCCATTGGCACTATACACATATCAAAGTGTGAGCTATATGTCATCAGCACTCTACACACAGGTTTGTCAAAGTGTGAGCTATATGTCACTGGAGCTCTACACACAGGCATATCAAAGTGTGAGTTATATGTCATTAACACTCTACACACAGGTATGTCAAAGTGTGAGCTATATGTCATTAGCACTCTACACACAGGTATGTCAAAGTGTGAGCAATATGTCATTAGAATTCTACACATATCAAAGTGTGAGCTATATGTCATTAGCACTCTACACATAGGCATGTCAAAGTGTGAGCTATATGTCATTAGCACTCTGCACACAGGCATTAGCACTCTACACACAGGCATGTCAAAGTGTGAGCTGTATGTCCTTAGCACTCTACACACAGGCATGTTGAAGTGTGAGCTATATGTCCTTAGAACTCTACACAAAGGCATGTCAAAGTGTGAGCTATATGTCCTTAGCACTCTACACACAGGCATGTCAAAGTGTGAGCTATATGTCCTTAGCACTCTACACACAGGCATTAGCACTCTACACACAGGCATGTTGAAGTGTTAGCTATATGTCATTAGCACTCTACACACAGGCATGTCAAAGTGTGAGCTATATGTCCTTAGCACTCTACACACAGGCATGTTGAAGTGTGAGCTATATGTCATTAGAACTCTACACACAGGCATGTCAAAGTGTGAGTTATATGTCCTTAGCACTCTACACACAGGCATGTTGAAGTGTGAGCTATATGTCATTAGAACTCTACACACAGGCATGTCAAAGTGTGAGCTATATGTCCTTAGCACTCTACACACAGGCATGTCAGTGTGAGCTATTTGTCATTAGCACTCTACACACAGGCATGTCAAAGTGTGAGCTATATGTCATTAGCACTCTACACACAGGCATTAGCACTCTACACACAAGTCTCTGTCTTGGTGTCTTATTTAATATAAATAAATATATATAAAAATAATAAAAACAACTCTAAGAAGGGTCACTCACCTCCCTGACATCATCCATGACATCTTCAACTGTCTCAGCACTCAGATGTTTATGTAAATGTGTCAGTACTGAAGAACCAGCTACACAAGCCTTGACCACCTGTTGCAGACATGTTGGTTACTGTAGTTGGTGTATTACCACCATAAACTGTTGTCAGAGCATGTTGGTTACTGTAGTTGGTGTATTACCACCTTAAACTGTTGTCAGAGCATGTTGGTTACTGTAGTTGGTGTATTACCACCTTAAACTGTTGTCAGAGCATGCAACCAGGTGACTGATAACTAGTTTAGAGAGTATGTATCAGGTGTCTGATAAATATTTTAGAGAATATGTAACCGGACTCATAATTAATTTAGTTGAGTCAAGAATTGACATCAAAGCACTCGGGCACTACCATATGCGCTCCATCCTCATCTTTAGTTCCAATACTAATGGTTCTGGTCGTAGACTGGTTTTATGCCTGTCTTGCCTTTCCTCTGAGTGTAGTGAGCTGGCCAGACCCAGGTGCATGATTCTCTCCAGGCCATAATAATCCGGTTTCTCTTCTGACTTCGTTACTTGTTCCCAAAGGGCACTGACCACATCTGACTTGTGATGTATTAATTCACCACCCACTGGTGCAGATCCAGCCAATCTGTCTGCCCGTTCATTACCTACCATAACTAGAGTGTACGCAACCAGGTGATTGATAACTAGTTTAGACAGTCACCAGGTAATAGATAAGTAGAGGGTATGTAACCAGGTAAAAAACAGATGAGTAAAGAGTATGTAATCAGGTAACATACGGCTAGTTTAAACTATGTAACCAGGTAAAAAAACAGATGAGTAAAGAGTATGTAATCAGGTAACATACGGCTAGTTTAAACTATGTAACCAGGTAAAAAACAGATGAGTAAAGAGTATGTAATCAGGTAACATACGGCTAGTTTAAACTATGTAACCAGGTAAGAAACAGATGAGTAAAGAGTGTGTAATCAGGTAACATACAGCTAGTTTAAACTATGTAACCAGGTAAAAAACAGATGAGTAAAGAGTAACATACGGCTAGTTTAGGTAACCAGGTAACAGACAAGTAAAAAGGACCCTTTTCCACGCTTTTAGGCATATAGGGCTAGACCTATATTTTATAGACCAATCAACACAAGATGGGTGATGTGATCAGCATCACGCCAGCCATCTTTACTTTCCAGGACTGCACCCGGTACCTATTCAAGTCTGGGTCGACCTAGGAGCCAAGGTCATTTGTGAAAGAGAGAATGAAACAGGTAACAGCTGAGTAGTTAAGAGAGAATGAAACAGGTAACAGCTGAGTAATTAGGAGAGAATGAAACAGGTAACAGCTGAGTAGTTAAGAGAGAATGAAACAGGTAACAGCTGAGTAGTTAAGAGAGAATGAAACAGGTAACAGCTGAGTAATTAGGAGAGAATGAAACAGGTAACAGCTGAGTAATTAGGAGAGAATGAAACAGGTAACAGCTGAGTAGTTAAGAGAGAATGAAACAGGTAACAGCTGCGTAGTTAAGAGAGAATGAAACAGGTAACAGCTGAGTAGTTAAGAGAGAATGAAACAGGTAACAGCTGAGTAATTAGGAGAGAATGAAACAGGTAACACCTGAGTAGTTAAAAGAGAATGAAAAAGGCAACAGCTGAGTAGTTAAGAGAGAATGAAACAGGTAACAGCTGAATAGTTAAGAGAGAATGAAACAGGTAACAGCTGAGTAGTTAAGAGAGAATGAAACAGGTAACAGATGAGTAGTTAAGAGAGAATGAAACAAGTAACCGCTGAGTAGTTAAGAGAGAATGAAACAGGTAACAGATGAGTAGTTAAGAGAGAATGAAACAGGTAGCAGCTGAGTAGTTAAGAGAGAATGAACAAGGTCAGATGAGTAGTTAAGAGAGAATGAAACAGGTAAACAAGTCGCTGAGTAGTTAAGCTGAATGAAACGGTAACAGCTGAGTAGTTCCCAGAGAATGAAACAGGTAACAGATGAGTAGTTATGAGAATGAAAACAGGTAACAGCTGAGTAGTTATTCTTGAAACAGGTAACAGCTGAGGCATTAGGAGAAATGAAACAAGTAACAGCTGAGTAGTTAGAGAGAATGAAACAGGTAACAGTGAGTAATTAGGAGAGAATGAAACAGGTAACAGCTGTCAGTAGTTCAAGAGAGATGAAACAGGTAACAGCCTGCGTAGTTAAAAGAGAATGAAAAATAAAGATGACTAGTTTAAAAGAGAATGAAACAGGTAACAGCTGAGTAGTTTGAGAGAATGAAACAGGTAACAGCTGAGTAATTAGGAGAGAATTCGGTAACACTGAGTAGTTAAGAGAGAATGAAACAGGTAACAGCTGAGTAGTTAAGAGAGAATGAAACAGGTAACAGATGAGTAGTTAAAGAGAGTATGAAACAGGTAACAGCTGAGTAGTTAAGAGAGTATGAAACAGGTACAAGATAGAGAAAAGATCTGCAGCGACTGACCATGTCATGTGTGCCAGCCTCCTGTATGTTGTGTAAGATGTCCTGCAGCTTGCTCAGACAGGCATATCTCTTATCCATTGTCATCATAACCCTTCTCTTTTTTCTGAGGCAATGTTTAGCCTGGACAATGCACAGAAAATAATGTATCATAAATGAAAATGAACATGCTTTTGCTATCTGTGGGCAGTAGCAAACTTATGAGTGTTAGGTGAAGTACAGTAACTAGTATACCTTTCTCAGTGTTGGGCAGTAGCAGTACTGCAGGAACTAACAAACTTATGAGTGTTAGGTGAAGTACAGTAACTAGTATACCTTTCTCAGTGTTGGGCAGTAGCAGTACTGCAGGAACTAGCAAACTTATGAGTGTTAGGTGAAGTACAGTAACTAGTATACCTTTCTCAGTTTTGGGCAGTAGCAGTACTGCAGGAACTAGCAAACTTATGTAAGTGGTATAAGGCAGCAAAGTAACTAGTACACTTATGTTAGTGGTGGAGTTAATAAAGTCACTAATTTGCTTATCTCAGTGGTGGAGTTAGTACAGTAACTAGTATACTTATCGCAGTGGTAAAGGTAGTACAGTAACCAGTATACTTATATCAGTGGTTGAGGAAGTACAGTAACTACTATACTTATCGCAGTGGTGAAGGTAGTACAGTAACTGGTACACTTATCTGAGCTATCAGGTTATTGCGGTAACTAGCATACTTATCTGAGCTGTCAGGTTACTGCGGTAACTAGCATACTTATCTGAGCTGTCAGGTTACTGCGTTAACTAGCATACTTATCTGGGCTATCAGGTGCTGCGGTAACTAGCATACTTATCTGAGCTGTCAGGTTACTGCGGTAACTAGCATACTTATCTGAGCTGTCAGGTTACTGCGGTAACTAGCATACTTATCTGAGCTGTCAGGTTACTGCGTTAACTAGCATACTTATCTGGGCTGTCAGGTGCTGCGGTAACTAGCATACTTATCTGAGCTGTCAGGTTACTGCGGTAACTAGCGTACTTTTCTGAGCTGTGAGGTTACTGCGGTACTAGCATACTTATCTGGGCTGTCAGGTTACTGCGTTAACTAGCATACTTATCTGGGCTGTCAGGTGCTGCGGTAACTAGCATACTTATCTGAGCTGTCAGGTTACTGCATTAACTAGCATACTTATCTGGGCTATCAGGTGCTGCGGTAACTAGCATACTTATCTGAGCTGTCAGGTTACTGTGGTAACTAGCATACTTATCTGAGCTATCAGGTTACTGCTGTAACTAGCATACTTATCTGAGCTGTCAGGTTACTGCGGTAACTAGCATACTTATCTGAGCTGTCAGGTTACTGCGGTAACTAGCATACTTATCTGAGCTGTCAGGTTACTGCGTTAACAAGCATACTTATCTGGGCTGTCAGGTGCTGCGGTAACTAGCATACTTATCTGAGCTGTCAGGTTACTGCGGTAACTAGCGTACTTTTCTGAGCTGTGAGGTTACTGCGGTACTAGCATACTTATCTGGGCTGTCAGGTTACTGCGTTAACTAGCATACTTATCTGGGCTGTCAGGTGCTGCGGTAACTAGCATACTTATCTGAGCTGTCAGGTTACTGCGGTAACTAGCGTACTTTTCTGAGCTGTGAGGTTACTGCGGTACTAGCATACTTATCTGGGCTTTCAGGTTACTGCGGTAACTAGCATACTTATCTCAGCTGTCAGGTTACTGGCTTAACTAGCATACTTTTCTGAGCTGTGAGGTTACTCCGGTACTAGCATACTTATCTGGGCTGTCAGGTTACTGCGTTAACTAGCATACTTATCTCAGCTGTCAGGTTACTGCGATAACTAGCATACTTATCTAAGCTGTCAGGTGCTGCGGTAACTAGCATACTTATCTGGGCTGTCAGGTTACTGTGGTAACTAGCATACTTATCTGAGCTGTCAGGTTACTGCAGTATCTAGCATACTTATCTGAGCTGTCAGGTTACTGAGGTAACTAACATACTTATCTCAGCTGTCAAATTACTGCAGTAACTAACATACTTATCTCAGCTGTCAGGTTACTGCAGTAACTAACATACTTATCTCAGCTGTCAGGTTACTGCAGTAACTAACATACTTATCTCAGCTGTCAGGTTACTGCAGTAACTAACATTACGAGGAACAGAAACAAAAATTAAATCTAGAAGTTGATAAGATTTTGGACTTACCAGATTTTTTTTACCCTGTCTCAAGTGAGATCTGGCCTCAGTAAGTAATCTGAAGAAAACACCAATGTCCATACTGAGTAACATATGGATTACTATAGCAAAAAGCGTAACATAAGGCATATTCATAATGTAACTGTTGGTAACAGCGGCTCAACTGGTATTGGGAGATTCATGTGTGACCGGCCACTGGAGTTGAGTCAGTATTATATATGTCCTTGGAATGTTTGAACTGTGGAAGTGGAATGTGGTGTATTATTGTGAATGCTATGGATGATGGTAGTTATGGGGATGTGAGATCCAGATGCTTTATCTGACCACTGTCAACTGGCTGGTTATTTTTCACAGTGTTGGTCATTGCCAGGGGCTGTATAATTTTGCAGGTCTTTTGATACTTATTTGCAGGTTAGCCATGATTATGCAGAAATATTTGCTGCCATAGGCTATTGGTGACCCCAGAGTGGGCACATATGCTAAATGTGTTTATTATAGGCTAATCGTGACATCAGGAGTGGGCACATATGCTGAATGTGTTTATTATAGGCTATTGGTGACCCCAGGAGTGGGCACATATGCTAAATGTGTTTATTATAGGCTAATCGTGACCCCAGAGTGGGCACATATGCTAAATATGTTTATTATAGGCTATTGGTGACCCCAGAGAGGGCACATATGCTAAATGTGTTTATTATAGGCTATTGGTGACCCCAGAACTCCGCTAAGACCGGTCCCAAGCCCGGCTGTAAAAGGAGGAGGGTCTGGCTGAACCTGAGTGCTTCATGCGTCTCCGGAAGTAGTGGGTAACCGTGAATCAGCCAGACGGCCTGCATGGAGGCCGCAAGGAGGCAGCCCCTCCACCATGCAAAGGCACAACAGGCCAATCACCTGTTTGCCTTAAACCACGATTACAAGTAACTACAGAGAGAAAACCGGACGGATCTTAACGGCGACGAACTGGCATGGCTTACGGACTACGATTTTATGGAACATGGAATATAAGAGGCATTAACGGAAAGGAAAACGAGTTAGTAGGGGAGATGAGGAAAGCAAAATTAGGAGTCTTGGCTCTGACTGAAACCAAGAAAAAGGGGCAAGGAATCACAGATCACGATGGAAGTATGCTGCTCTACAGTGGTGTCCCTATGACGGAGAGAGCCAAGGGAGGTGTTGGCTGTATTGTGGCCAGGAATCAAGTTAGTAACATCAAGGGATGGAAATTCATCTCAGAGCGAATAATGGTGTTAGATCTGAAAGAAGAAGATAAAATTGTCAATTTTGTCATTTGGTCAAATGAAGATGAGCGAGTAGATGTTAAAGAAGAATTCTTTGAACTGCTCCAAAAGACCATAGATGACTGTCACGATGAAATTATCCTCCTAGGAGATCTAAATGCCAGAGTAGGAAATGATCACTCTAGATGGGGGAGTGGAGTGATCGGGAGATATGGTGAAGATGTTTTGAATGATTAATGGCAAAAAGCGACTTCTCAGATTCTGCAGGGAACAGAACCTTGTCATTACAAACACAAAATTCCCCCACAAGCGTATACATGCATACACAAGATGTGAACCTTCAAAGAATGAAAAAATCCATCATTGACTACGCCATAGTTAGGAAAAGTTCATTCAAGTTTTGTGAGAGATGCCAGAGTCATGAGAGGACCAGAGATTGGAAGTGACCACTATCTGGTCACAATAAAGAGAACAACTGAAAGAACTGCTCCAACAAGGCAACACCGACAACTATGCAAGAAACCAAGCAACCAAGAAAGGATGAGGACTAAAAGCATACAAGCTAAGAGAGCCAGATATTAAGGCTAGATACCAGGAGCTTATAGTGAAAGCAATAGGAACTGAAGAAGAAATCATCAGAGGACACTGAAAACTCTCTGGTGCAGATTTCAAGAATATCCTCACACAGCAGCTGCAGTAGAAGCATGTGGTGAAGTCCCAAGTGGAAGGCGGGGGGACACAGGACACCTTGGTGGACAGAAGAAGTCAAATTGAAAATAAGAGAAAAGAAAAGGGCATGGAAGCAATACCTGGCAGCCAGGAACACAGCTGAAGAAATAGGAAAATATAAACAATATGTGGCACTCAGAACAGAGACCAAAAATATTGTGCTTAAAGCAAAAACAGAAATCATGGGAAGAGTTTGGAGAAAAAAAAGTGGAAAAGAATGCAAGAGAAAAACCAAAAACTGTTTCTACAAGACCCTTAAGAACATGAGGAAGGAGAAAGAGTGCCCACTTAAAATTCATAAAAGACAAGGAAGGGGCTCTGCTTACTTCTACAAATGATATCATGGGCAGATGGAAAGAATACTTCTCAGAGCTCCTTGGCGCTGAGGGAAGTCATGACCCAGAAATAATGGACCTCACTGCTGAGAAAGGAATTCAATCATGGGGAAGATAACATCAGGATGGAAGAATTGAAGGCAGCTATTGAGAAGATTAAGCTGGGAAAAGCAGCAGGTCATGATGGTATAACACCAGAGATGGTCAAATATATGGGAGTCGAAGGTGAGCGCCTTCTACTGAAGGTTCTCCAGGCAGCCTGGTGTAGCAAAAAACTATACCAAAAAGATTGGGAGATTGCCATCATTATACCTATATTTAAAAAAAGGTGATAACATACAATGTGAAAACCACAGAGGCATATCCCTCCTCAGCATTCCCGGTAAAAGTTACTCTAGAATTTCTGAGCAGAGACTTAGAAGTCTGGTAGAGCCACAGCTGGACGAGGCCCAGTGCGGCTTCAGAGCAAACCGAAGTACTCAAGACCTTATCTTCACACTGAGACAGATGAGTGAAAAAAGCCCTGGAATATAAGAGTGAGATTCACTTATGTTTTTTGGATCTGGAAAAAGGCATTTGACAAGGTACCCTGGAACAAGCTCTGGGACTGCTTGGCAGGGAAAAAACATCCCAGCACCCCTGATCAGTGCAATACAGAGTTTTCTACAAAAATGTGCAGAAATTATGTAAGAACAGCAGACCAAAAGTCAGAAGAATTTAAGACCACCAGCGGTGTTAGACAAGGTGATATTCTCTCTCACCTTACCTCTTCATTCTTATGATGGATGATGTCATCAAGACCTGTAAGGAGAAGACAAAGAAGTACTCTGTAGGGTACTGGAAGATGAGACCAATCTGTATATCAGAGCTGGCTTTTGCAGACGATGTGGCCCTGATAGCTAAATCAGAGGCACACCTTCAGTCCAACTTACTTGTCTGGAAGGAAGAGCTTGAAAAGAAAGGGATGACCATCAGTGTCTCCAAAACAAAAACCATGGTGATCTCAAGAGAGGAGAAGAAACACCAGACCATGATGGGTCAGTATGCTTTGGAGCAGGTTAACCAGTTCAAATACCTTGGAGTTGTATTAGACCGAAATGGAGGCATTAAGACTGAGCTGGCTACACGAAAAGCAGCTGCTGGGAGAGGACTCTTCCAGGCCATAAACCGAGGGTTTTTCTTAGCAAAAGAGAAATTGGCAAGAGGACGAAAATGGCTGTTTTACCGCTCTACCTATGTACCAGTCCTGACCTATGGGTGTGAGTCATGGGCAATGACAACAGCTCACAGAAGCCAGCTGCAGGCCTCGGAAATGAGATACCTGAGAAAGGTGGTCCCAGTGACAAGAAGGGACAAAGTCCGCAATCAACAATACGTCAAGATCTTGATACCCAGCCCTTACTAACCCGAGTGGATCAGTCACAGTTTTACGATGGTTTGGGACATGTGTGCAGAATGGGAGAAAAAATCGGGGCCACCATGGCAAGCATGGGAGGCTAAGAACCAGGGAACCAGACCTCCGGGACGACCCAGTGTGCGCTGGGAAGACAACATCCGACAGTCCCTGACTGACAGAGGACTGGAATGGAACAAAGCCAGAAAGAAAACTGCTGATAGAGACGTCTGGCGATCTCTCTGGCAAACCTCTACACCCCAAGGTAGAAGAGGAGCGACTAAGTAAGTAAGTAAGTAAGGTGACCCCAGGAGTGGGCACATAAGCTAAATGTGTTTATTATAGGCTATTGGTGACCCCAGAGTGGGCACATATGCTAAATGTGTTTATTATAGGCTATTTGTGACCCCAGAGTGGGCACATATGCTAAATGCGTTTATTATAGGCTATTGGTGACCCCAGAGTGGGCACATATGCTAAATGTGTTTATTATAGGCTATTGGTGACCCCAGGAGTGGGCACATATGCTAAATGTGTTTATTATAGGCTATACCCCAGAATTGGGCACATATGCTAAATGCATGGCTAATGGTGACCCCAGAGTGGGCACATATGCTAAATGTGTTTATTATAGGCTATTGGTGACCCCAGAGTGGGCACATTTGCTAAATGTGTTTATTATAGGCTATTGGTGACCCAAGAGTGGGCACATATGCTAAATGTGTTTATTATAGGCTAATGGTGACATCAGGAGTGGGCACACATGCTAAATGCGTTAATTATAAGTTAATGGTGACCCCAGAGTGGGCAGATATGCTAAATGTGTTAATTATAAGTTAATGGTGACCCCAGAGTGGGCACATATGCTAAATGCGTTTATTATAGGCTAATGGTGACCCCAGGAGTGGGCACATATGCTAAATGTGTTTATTATAGGCTAATGGTGACCCCAGGAGTGGGCACATATGCTAAATGCGTTTATTATAGGCTATTGGTGACCCCAGAGTGGGCACATATGCTAAATGTGTTTATTATAGGCTATTGGTGACCCCAGAGTGGGCACATATGCTAAATGTGTTTATTATAGGCTATTGGTGACCCAAGAGTGGGCACATATGCTGAATGTGTTTATTATAGGCTAATGGTGACATCAGGAGTGGGCACATATGCTAAATGCGTTTATTATAGGCTATTGGTGACCCCAGAGTGGGCACATATGCTGAATGCGTTTATTTTAGGCTAATGGTGACCCCAGAGTGGGCAAATATGCTAAATGCGTTTATTATAGGCTAATGGTGACCCCAGAGTGGGCAAATATGCTAAATGCGTTTATTATAGGCTAATGGTGACATCAAGAGTGGGCACATATGCTAAATGCGTTTATTATAGGCTATTGGTGACCCCAGAGTGGGCACTTATGCTAAATGCGTTTATTATAGGCTAATGGTGACATCAGGAGTGGGGTCACATGCCGAATGTGTCTTGTGTCATGAACTCGAATTAAGTCAAAGCTAGGTCCTGCCTATGGAGTCTTCAGTGTGTATTCTTTGCAGAATTTAATAGATAAGACAGTATTCAGTCATCTGCCAACAATTTATCATCCTAATGGCTGGTCCATGAATAAACTAGACCGACTGCACCAAAATGTACACCCTTGGAGTGATATATTATAGTGCTCGTAGACAGAGTTCGTGGTTACAATCTCTCCTGTGTGTTCCTGAGCTAGCTCAGTATTCCCCCTGTGTGTTCCTGGGCTAGGTCAGTATTCTCCTATGTTGTTCCTGGGCTAGGTCAGTATTCTCCTGTGTGTTCCTGGGCTAGGTCAGTATTCTCCTGTGTGTTCCTGGGCTAGGTCAGTATTCTCCTGTGTGTTTCTGGGCTAGGTCAGTATTCTCCAGTGTGTTCCTGGGCTAGGTCAGTGTGTTCCTGGGCTAGGTCAGTATTTTCCTGTGTGTTCCTGGGCTAGGTCAGTATTCTCCAGTGTGTTCCTGGGCTAGGTCAGTATTCCCCTGTGTGTTCCTAGGCTAGGTCAGTATTCTCCTGTGTGTTCCTGGGCTAGGTCGGTATTCTCCTGTGTGTTCCTGGGCTAGGTCAGTATTCCCCTGTGTGTTCCTGGTCTAGGTCAGTATTCTCCTGTGTGTTCCTGGGCTAGGTCAGTATTCTCCTGTATGTTCTTGGGCTAGGTCAGTATTCTCAACTCAGACGCTGGGCGACGAAAAAGTACATGTGTCTACTGGGCTAGGTCAACGCCCATTCTCCTGTATGTTCCTGGGATAGGTCAGTATTCTCCTGTGTGTTCCTGGGCTAGGTCAGTATTCTCCTGGGTGTTCCTGGCTAGGTCAGTATTCTCATGTGTATTACTGGGCTAGGTCAGTATTCTCCTGTGTGTTCCTGGGCTAGGTCAGTATTCTCCTATGTGTTCCTGGGCTAGGTCAGTATTCTCCTGTGTGTTCCTGGGCTAGGTCAGTATTCCCCTGTGTGTTCCTGGGCTAGGTCAGTATTCTCCTGTGTTTTCCTGGGCTAGGTCAGTGTTCTCCTGTGTGTTCCTGGGCTAGGTCAGTATTCTCCTGTGTGTTCCTTGGCTAGGTCAGTATTCTCCTGTGTGTATGTTCCTGGTGTATGGGGTCAGTGATGTCCCCTGATATGTTTTTGATTTCACATACATGGGCGTAATTACAGTATTGATGAAATCCTGCTATGTTGGAAGTTTGGAAGGCCTGTAAGACAGGCCTGCGTAATTTGATCAGAAAATAAAGTTCGTTCGTTCGTTCGTTCTCCTGTGTAGAACCCAATAGTTGTCATCATGATCGTCGACTAGGGAATTCTGGCCTGTGTGACTGAAGTATAATCATCACTCCAGAAACTTTTGCTAGGCATATGCGATACCTCTGCTTGTATCGCATATTACAGTAACATATCACAGATACACAGTGTAAAGTGTCACAGATGCACACAGTAACAAATCACAGATATACAGAAACATGACACAGATAAACACAGTGACATGTTGCAGATATACTGTAACACTTCACAGATACATACAGTAACATATTGCAGATACAGTAACATGTCACAGACACATAGGTTAACATGTCACAAATACAGTAACATGTCCCAGATACACACAGTAACATGTCACAGATACTCAACACAGTATCACGTCTTATTTACAGAAACATATCACAGATACATACAGTGACATGTCACAGATACACACAGTAACATGTCACAGATACACACAGTATCACGTCTAATTTACAGAAACATGTCAAAGATACATACAGTGACATGTCACAGAGTAACATGTCAGAGTAACATGTCACAGATTCACACAGTGACATGTCACACACAAATAGAGTAACATGTTACAGATTCACACAGTGACATGTCACAGATACATAGAGCAATATGTCATGGTCACACACAGTAACACACCATAAGAACACAGAAAATGTCACAGATACATAGAGTAACACTTCACATAAACATGTCACAGATACAAAGAGTAACATGTCACAGATACACACAGTAACACATCACAGATACAAAGAGTAACACATCACAAGAATACAGAGTAACATGTCACAGATAAACAGAGTAAAATGTCACAGACACAGACAGTAACATATATCATCGAACCCCACCCCCCCCCCCCCCCCCCCCCCCCCACCCCCCCCCCCCCCCCCCCCCCCCCCCCCCCCCCCCCCCCCCCCCCCCAAAAAATAGCTACTGAAAGAAACTTACATACTTACAATTTTGACTTTCTGCATCTTTGTAATGCAAAAAGAGAAATTACTCAAATCACACACAAGAATACCTTAGGGTTCCACCAATCAATTGGCATGTTTTTTTTCCATCTAGGAAATAATAATTTTCAGGCGTATGGCCTTTTTCCGTTAGTATGGTGTGTGGCCTCCTTTTGCGTGGATCAGTGACTGGCACCTCATGGGCGTGGATGCGATCAGATGTTTTGATGTGGGCCTGTGGGATGGCTGCCCATTCTTCCTAGAATGCCTGGAACAGATCACAACCATTGGCTGGAGCAACGCCTCAGTGACAAACATGTCTTTGCAGCTCATCCCACATATGCTCAATCAGACATGTGTGCAGACAGAAACGGCCAGAGAAGGGTTTGAATGTTATTGGCAGCCATGTAATTCACGCCCACATGTCGATGGGACATGGCAAACAACTTTTGAGTCTGCTTTTGATATGCCTGAGTATGATATTTGATTTACAAACTAATAAAAACACACCATCGGATAACTATGCGTTTCTCCTCCGCAACCACACTGGTCACTCCTTCCCAAAGGGCCCTCACAATATCTAGCTTGTCATACATCCATTCACCACCAAGTGGTGCACAGCTAGGCCAGTCAATCTGCCTGCTCATTTTTCAACACATTGACATAACCTGGAGAAAATATCCAAAGGATGCTAACTACACAGGACCTCTAAATTGATGCTTGCCACTCTGCACAAAGCATGCTTGACTTCACCTTTCTTAACATGCTCTGCGAGTCAGTTACAATCACGGCATGTGTGCAGAAAGCAGCAGAGACTGCTTCCACCTCCATTCTCAACTAGACGTTGTGATTTCATCTGTAAGGCTTTGCTGCACTAAGTGATGTCCATTCGACTTTGCAATGAAAACCCATGCACTTCGTCTGCTTCTCAACACAGTCATCTGTACAGATAACATAATCACATCATCTGGGCGGGAATTGTCATCAATCAGTTGTTGAACTTCTGACTCTGCAGCACCAGCTGGCCAGTCCTGCACTCACATCCTAAAGTGATTAGAATCCTACACAAGTCTGAAATTTGTTTGGACACCTTGACCTGCTCCTCTCCTCGCACAAATGTATCAAGCCTGCACACATGTCCAATTGTGTCTTCAGCTTGCGCCATCCAAGACCTTCCTCTTTTCAGTCTGTGACCCTTAGCTCTACCCAGGGCTTCATGCAGGAGGTGCTTCTTGTCTGCAGCTACTCAGAGATATGATTTGGCCTGCAGAGCCTATATGCAATAGTAGGCAGTGCAAGTACATATCACATACGTACTACCGGGGTATCTCTTGCACACCCAGAATAACCCACATGGCTTCATTCTGTATGCATTTTAGTTTTATCAGCTAACTCTTTGATATGGTAAGCATTCCAAGTATGTAATCTATTAAGGACAGGATCACATGCTGGAACATTGTGAACAGCATTCTTTGTTCCATGTCCATTGCTGCCATCAGCTAACAAATAGTGACAGCAAGATATAATCACATACCTCTCTACTGTCAGGGTCAAGGCTTCTATGTCCGTCTCCAGCTTCTTCTCAGCCATGTGTATTCTGGGATTAAAACAAGAACATGTTAAACATTTTTGTAACATCAAACAACAACAGCAAACACACACAATTGACATATAAAATCACACAATGACAACTGATATCAGAGATAAGTTAGAAAAGAACTGCAGACAAGCACAAACCAAACTTTGGGTAACCCTGTATGCAGGAGGAAACCTGACAAAACAATGCCACCATGTTTCACCAGTCAGCTACACAACAATGTCACCATGTTTCATCAGTCAGCCACACATCAATGTCACCATGTTTCATCAGTCAGCCACACAACAATGTCACCATGTTTCACCACCCAGCCACACAATACCAGCATGTTTCACCAGCCGGCTACACAACAATCTCAACATGTTTCACCAGCCAGCCACACAACAATCTCAACATGTTTCACCAGCCATCTACACAACAATCTCAACATGTTTCACCAGCCATCTACACAACAATCTCAACATGTTTCACCACCCAGTCACACAACAATCTCAACATGTTTCACCAGCCATCTACACAACAATCTCAACATGTTTCACCAGCCATCTACACAACAATCTCAACATGTTTCACCACCCATCTACACAACAATCTCAACATGTTTCACCAGCCGGCTACACAACAATGTCATCATGTTTCCTCACCCATCTACACAACAATCTCAACATGTTTCCTCACCCATCTACACAACAATCTCAACATGTTTCCTCACCCATCTACACAACAATCTCAACATGTTTCCTCACCCAGCTACACAACAATCTCAACATGTTTCACCAGCCATCTACACTACAATCTCAACATGTTTCACCAGCCATCTACACAACAATCTCAACATGTTTCACCACCCAGCCACACAACAATCTCAACATGTTTCACCAGCCATCTACACAACAATCTCAACATGTTTCACCAGCCATCTACACAACAATCTCAACATGTTTCACCACCCATCACACAACAATCTCAACATGTTTCACCAGCCGGCTACACAACAATGTCATCATGTTTCCTCACCCATCTACACAACAATCTCAACATGTTTCCTCACCCATCTACACAACAATCTCAACATGTTTCCTCACCCATCTACACAACAATCTCAACATGTTTCCTCACCCAGCTACACAACAATCTCAACATGTTTCACCAGCCATCTACACTACAATCTCAACATGTTTCACCAGCCATCTACACAACAATCTCAACATGTTTCACCACCCAGCCACACAACAATCTCAACATGTTTCACCAGCCATCTACACAACAATCTCAACATGTTTCACCAGCCATCTACACAACAATCTCAACATGTTTCACCACCCATCTACACAACAATCTCAACATGTTTCACCAGCCGGCTACACAACAATGTCATCATGTTTCCTCACCCATCTACACAACAATGTCAACATGTTTCCTCACCCATCTACACAACAATCTCAACATGTTTCCTCACCCATCTACACAACAATCTCAACATGTTTCCTCACCCAGCTACACAACAATCTCAACATGTTTCACCAGCCATCTACACAACAATCTCAACATGTTTCACCAGCCATCTACACAACAATCTCAACATGTTTCCTCACCCAGCTACACAACAATCTCAACATGTTTCCTCATCAAGCTACACAACAATCTCAACATGTTTTCTCACCCAGCTACACAACAATCTCAACATGTTTCCTCACCCAGCTACACAACAATCTCAACATGTTTCCTCACCCAGCTACACAACAATCTCAACATGTTTCCTCACCCAGCTACACAACAATCTCAACATGTTTCCTCACCCAGCTACACAACAATCTCAACATGTTTCCTCACCCAGCTACACAACAATCTCAACATGTTTCCTCACCCGGCTACACAACAATCTCAACATGTTTCACCAGCCGGCTACACAACAATCTCAACATGTTTCCTCACCCAGCTACACAACAATCTCAACATGTTTCCTCACCCAGCTACACAACAATCTCAACATGTTTCCTCACCCAGCTACACAACAATCTCAACATGTTTCACCAGCCATCTACACAACAATCTCAACATGTTTCACCAGCCATCTACACAACAATCTCAACATGTTTCACAAGCCATCTACACAACAATCTCAACATGTTTCACAAGCCATCTACACAACAATCTCAACATGTTTCCTCACCCAGCTACACAACAATCTCAACATGTTTCACAAGCCATCTACACAACAATCTCAACATGTTTCCTCACCCAGCTACACAACAATCTCAACATGTTTCACCAGCCATCTACACAACAATCTCAACATGTTTCCTCACCCAGCTACACAACAATCTCAACATGTTTCACCAGCCAGCCACACAACTGTAATCAATGGAATTTCTTTCATGGAGTTTCTAGTGATGTGATAAGGTTGAGAGAGAAATGCGCGAGAGCACGAATAACCGCAGAAGCACAAATTGTAGGTAGAGTGCTCAGGTGACTGCACGAGTTTGAAAGATTGGACCATGTTCCAAAACCGGTGTGTGATTCGCAGCCAGAGTGAAAGGTTGTGTTTTGTGAGAGCATGAATACAACATTGTATAACTGAACAACGTGCAGGAGATTGAATTCTACAAGATGACCGCCTAGCCACAATCCAGTCAAGTTGACAACTAGCTTGGTGGAGCTAAACAGCCAGCGGCCGAAGACGCTTGTTTGACACCTTTACATGTGGCGCGATTGAGACGCGAAGACTGCAAAGTTAGCAAATGTGAATGATTGTGAACAGCGGTGAGGAACTTTGTCATTGTTACCTGTTGAATATTTGGACATGCTAGAGAGTAGCGGACGATGACTGGACCGGATTGCCATCTGTGAGTAATAAAGATAAAAACTGCGATTGTGTCTCCTTAATAACATCTGTGTGCATCAATTCATCATATGCGTCAGCAATAGTATAATCCCCTAGAAAACAGCCAGAGCACACTGAGAGAGCAATGTCCCAACAACAATATCAACATGTTTCGCCAGCTAGCTACACAACAATGTCAACATGTTTCACCAGCCAACCACACAACAATGTCAAAATATTTCACTGGCCAACCACACAACAATGCTACCATGTTTCACCAGCCAGCCTCACATCAATGCCACCATGTTTCACCAGCCAACTGTACAACAATGTCATCATGTTTCTCCTTGAGGCTACACAACAATGTCACCATGTTTCCCCTTTCAGCTACACAACAAGAATTTGAGAGTATAGGAATGAAAAAGTGTGCTATACCTTATGTGAGAGTGCAGGGATGACAAAGTGGCTATCTCTTTTGTGACAGTGCAGGATAAACAAAGTGGCTATACTTTATTTGAGAGTGCAGGAATGACAAAGTGGCTATCTCTTATGTGAGAGCTGTTGTGTGCCGATTTGTATGGAATCAGAAGGGTTGTAACACTGATGGGGACAATGTCGTGTAAACTGTCTTTTCGTGAGTATTCTGGAATGTCCGGTGACCTGAGTCAATGGCTTAAGCCTGGAGATGTCAGTTAGGCTTGAGTCAATATTATTACAAGTGGGTGATAACACGGCTGGATAGACCAGTGGATTCACAAAGTTATCAGCCCAGTTTGGGCTAATTATCATATTTAGTGTGTGGATAGCAGCTTTCGTACGGAAAGGTATTGGGTACTTAGTGAAGGGGAATCAAGCTTAACTGGACGTCTCGTGTGCACAGAGGCTCACAAGAGACAGGCGTGTGTATATAATGGGGTTGAGTTCAGTGAGAGACAGAGAGAGGTCTGCTAGAACACGTCGAGAGAACAGTCAAGTTGAGAACGTTCGAGGCGGAAGCACTCGTGAGAGACTGGTCTAGAGGACAGTCGAGAGAAGTCCAGTTGGCAGAGTTAGGCCTAGAGAGTTGGACTACTAGAACAAGCTGTCTTGGGTACGACACATGTGAGGTGAAACAAGACAGCAGAGATGTCGGTGACAGCTATCTGCTGAAGAGAACACAGGCTTGGAGTCCTGCTGGTCATCGGGGTTCCTTCAACGAGGCTGATGTACTGTATGCACATACTGGAGAATTGGAAGTTTTCCAGTCAGCCGATGTGACAGTGTCTGCTACGTATGGAGCAACGGAGGTCAAGTTGAGTAGGAGATGTAACCTGTTTATCCATACATTGAGCCCTGAAGTGAGCGGACCTGGACACTGTAGCGGTCGGCTCAGCATGTAGTGGCAGCTAGTATAGGCTGTCAGAGAGAGCCCCGCTGTGTCAGTTGGAGCGAGCCAAGTGAGGGGACCTGGACACTGTAGCAGTCAGCTCAGCATGTAGTGGCAGCTAGTATAGGCTGTCAGAGAGAGCCCCGCTGTGTCAGTTTGAGCGAGCCAAGTGAGGGACATTCATTTCACAATCAACCAGTGACATGTATAGTTACTTCGCTTGCATTATTATATGTATGGGTTTGCCTATGCCCACTAGAAATTGTGACAATAAATGTGCATATATGGCGGCAACATGTTGTTGAGTTTTCCTGACAGTTTTGTGCGCAAGTTGAGTACAAGAGTTGGAGTGTGAATCATATCCTGGACACTTGTGCTGTCTGCCCATGAAGCAACTTTAGCAACAACAAGAGTGTTGGAATTACATGACAAAATGGCTACCTCTTATTAAAAAGTGCATGTATGACAAAGTGACTATCCCTTATCTGAGAGTGCAGGTATGACAGTGGCTATCCCTTATGAAAAGTTTAGTATTGACAAACCTGTCAGTACCCACCTGTAAATCTGAACATCTATCTCTCTGATTGGACGAGCAGATATTTCACCTCTTTTGCAAAACTGGATCACCTGTCAATATTACAACATGAAATCAGTGAACTGCAGTCGACAATTTCCACACAGCCGCAGTCATGGTAACATGATGCCAAAATCAGCAGCAGGTCAGGCTCACTGTTCATTTAAAGATCATCTACATTGAACATGACCATAAGGTACCTCAAAGACAAATAAAAGACATCTTACAATTATTCCAATACAATGATCATGGGAGACTCAACCAATATAATCTAGCATCCCAATATCAACATGGGAGACTCAAGCAATATAATCTAGCATCCCAATATCAACATGGGAGACAACCAATATAATCTAGCATCCCAATATCAACATGGGAGGCTCAAGCAATATAATCTAGCATCCCAATATCAACTTGGGAGACAACCAATATAATCTAGTATCCCAATATCAACATGGGAGACTCAAGCAATATAATCTAGCATCCCAATATCAACATGGGAGACTCAAGCAATATAATCTAGCATCCCAATATCAACATGGGAGACTCAAGCAATATAATCTAGCATCCCAATATAAACATGGGAGACTCAAACAATATAATCTAACATCCCAATATCAACATGGGAGACTCAAGCAATATAATCTAATATCCCAATATCAACATGGGAGACAACCAATATAATCTAACATCCCAATATCAACATGGGAGACAACCAATATAATCTAACATCCCAATATCAACATGGAGGGTCAACCAATATAATCTAACATCCCAATATCAACATGGAGGGTCAACCAATATAATCTAACATCCCAATATCAACATGGAGGGTCAACCAATATAATCTAACATCCCAATATCAACATGGGAGACAACCAATATACTCAAGCAATATAATCTAACATCCCAATATCAAAATGGGAGACAACCAATATAATCTAACATCCCAATATCAACATGGGAGACAACCAATATGATCTAACATCCCAATATCAACATGGAGGGTCAACCAATATAATCTAACATCCCAATATCAACATGGAGGGTCAACCAATATAATCTAACATCCCAATATCAACATGGAGGGTCAATCAATAATATATAACATCCCAATATCAACATGGGAGACAACCAATATAATCCAACATCCCAATATCAACATGGGAGACAACCAATATAATCTAACATCCCAATATCAACATGGAGGGTCAACCAATATAATCTAACATCCCAATATCAACATGGAGGGTCAACCAATATAATCTAACATCCCAATATCAACATGGGAGACAACCAATATAATCTAGCATCCCAATATCAACATGGGAGACAACCAATATAATCTAGCATCCCAATATCAACATGGGAGACTCAAGCAATATAATCTAACATCCCAATATCAACATGGGAGACTCAAGCAATATAATCTAACATCCCAATATCAACATGGGAGACAACCAATATAATCTAACATCCCAATATCAACATGGGAGACAACCAATATAATCTAACATCCCAATATCAACATGGGAGACAACCAATATAATCTAACATCCCAATATCAACATGGGAGACAACCAATATAATCTAACATCCCAATATCAACATGGGAGACAACCAATATAATCTAACATCCCAATATTAACATGGGAGACTCAAGCAATATAATCTAACATCCCAATCAACATGGGAGACTCAAGCAATATAATCTAACATCCCAATATCAACATGGGAGACAACCAATATAATCTAACATCTAAATATTAACATGGGAGACAACCAATATAATCTAACATCCCAATGTCAACATGGGAGACAACCAATATAATCTAACATCCGAATATCAACATGGGAGACAACCAATATAATCTAGCATCCCAATATTAACATGAGAGACAACCAATATAATCTAACATCCCAATCAACATGGGAGACAACCAATATAATCTAGCATCCCAATCAACATGGGAGACAACCATATAATCTAGCATCCCAATATTAACATGGGAGACAACCAATATAATCTAGCATCCCAATATTAACATGGGAGACAACCAATATAATCTAGCATCCCAATCAACATGGGAGACAACCAATATAATCTAGCATCCCAATATCAACATGGGAGACAACCAATATAATCTAGCATCCCAATCAACATGGGAGACAACCAATATAATCTAACATCCGAATATTAACATGGGAGACAACCAATATAATCTAGCATCCCAATCAACATGGGAGACAACCAATATAATCTAGCATCCCAATATTAACATGGGAGACAACCAATATAATCTAACATCACAATCAACATGGGAGACAACCAATATAATCTAACATCCCAATCAACATGGGAGACAACCAATATAATCTAACATCCCAATATCAACATGGGAGACAACCAATATAATCTAACATCCCAATATCAACATGGGAGACAACCAATATAATCTAACATCCCAATATCAACATGGGAAACAACCAATATAATCTAGCATCCCAATCAACATGGGAGACAACCAATATAATCTAGCATCCCAATCAACATGGGAGACAACCAATATAATCTAACATCCCAATATCAACATGGGAGACAACCAATATAATCTAACATCCCAATATCAACATGGGAAACAACCAATAAAATCTAAAATCCCAATATCAACATGGGAGACAACCAATATAATCTAGCATCCCAATATTAACATGGGAGACAACCAATATAATCTAACATCCCAATATCAACATGGGAGACAACCAATATAATCTAACATCCCAATATCAACATGGGAGACAACCAATATAATCTAGCATCCCAATCAACATGGGAGACAACCAATATAATCCAACATCCCAATATCAACATAGGAGACAACCAATATAATCTAACATCCCAATATCAACATGGGAGACAACCAATATAATCTAACATCCCAATATCAACATGGGAGACAACCAATATAATCTAACATCCCAATATCAACATGGGAGACAACCAATATAATCTAACTTCCCAATATCAACATGGGAGACAACCAATATAATCTAACATCCCAATCAACATGGGAGACAACCAATATAATCTAACATCCTAATATCAACATGGGAGACTCAAGCAATATAATCTAACATCCCAATCTCAACATGGGAGGCTCAACCAATATAATCTTACATCCCAATAACAACATGGGTGACAACCAATATAATCTAACATCCCAATCAACATGGGAGACAACCAATATAATCTAACATCCCAATCAACATGGGAGACTCAAGCAATATAATCTAACATCCCAATATCAACATGGGAGACAACCAATATAATATAACATCCCAATATTAACATGGGAGACAACCAATATAATCTAGCATCCCAATCAACATGGGAGACAACCAATATAATCTAGCATCCCAATCAACATGGGAGGCTCAACCAATATAATCTAACATCCCAATATCAACATGGGAGACTCAAGCAATATAATCTAGCATCCCAATCAACATGGGAGGCTCAACCAATATAATCTAACATCCCAATATCAACATGGGAGACTCAAGCAATATAATCTAGCATCCCAATATCAACATGGGAGTTAGTTAGTTAGTTATTCCTCTTGTGCCAAAGATGGCGCATAGGGCAGAGGTCATAGCTTTCCACGTCTGTCGGTTCTTTGCCACTTGATGTAGGTCTTGAGTGCGACTGAGACCTATGGTTGAGCTCTCCCTTGTGATGGTTCTACGGAGAGTTTCTTTTGGTCTTCCCTGTTTTCTTTTACCCTCTGGTGACCATATGAAGGCTTGGTGGGGAAGTCTCTGTATGTCCATTCTGAGTACGTGACCGATGTAATTCCAGCGACGCTTTCTAATAAAATCAGACACATATTTTTGTTTTGTTTCCTGTCTTATAGATGTATTGGACCTAAAGTCCGACCAGTGAACATTCAATAGCTTTCGGAGGCATCTATTCTCGAAAGCGACTAGTTTCTTATCGATTGATACTGATGATTTCCAACTCTCACAACCATAAGTTAGCACTGGGATCACACAGGAATTGAAGACCTTAAGTTTCGTGTTGTTGCTGAGTGATCTTGACTTCCAAATGTTTGACAGTTTGTTAAAGGCACTTGATGCTAACGCGATTCGAGTCGTTATTTCTGATGTTGTATCTCCCGCAGAGGTTATCTTGCTCCCTAAGTATGTGAAGCTGGTGATTTTTTCAAGAACAATATCCTTTAGTTTGATGTCTTTCGACTCGTTGGTAAGATCGATGATTTTTGTTTTGGCTGCGTTGACCTGAAGGCCGATTTGGCTTGAAATATTCTGGAGGCGGTCCATTTTTTCCTGAGCTTCTAGATGTGTTGTGCTCAGGAGTGCTAGGTCGTCAGCAAAGTCAAGATCTTCGAGAACTTTGTCGACCCATTTGATGCCTAGATGTGTGTCCTGTGGGAGGCTCAAGCAATATAATCTAGCATCCCAATATCAACATGGAAGGCTCAACCAATATAATCTAGCATCCCAATATCAACATGGGAGGCTCAACCAATATAATCTAACATCCCAATATCAACATGGGAGACAACCAATATAATCTAACATCCCAATCAACATGGGAGACAACCAATATAATCTAACATCCCAATATCAACATGGGAGACAACCAATATAATATAACATCCCAATCAACATGGGAGACAACCAATATAATCTAACATCCCAATCAACATGGGAGACTCAAGCAATATAATCTAACATCCCAATATCAACATGGGAGACTCAAGCAATATAATCTAACATCCCAATATCAACATGGGAGACTCAAGCAATATAATCTAACATCCCAATATCAACATGGGAGACTCAAGCAATATAATCTAACATCCCAATCAACATGGGAGACAACCAATATAATCTAACATCCTAATATCAACATTAGGAGACAACCAATATAATCTAACATCTCAATATCAACATGGGAGGCTCAACCAATATAATCTAACATCCCAATATCAACATGGGAGACAACCAATATAATCTAACATCCCAATCA